CGAAACAAATCATAAATATAGTTTAGTAAATCTAGCAAGATCGAATAGTTCTATTTGATTTTATTTAAAAAAAAACCACACGCTACGTATTTATTTTTTCAGAGCAATACGACGATGGGAAACTTTACAAAGCGAAGTTGGTCATGTGGAACAATCTCGTCGTCATGCATCACGTCGTTCTGAGGCATCAGGTACTAATACAGTCGTTGTTAATGAACAAAATGATGATGTAAAATCATCCAAAAAAAGTCGCCGTTCAGTTCACACAGAAGATCAAACAGTAGTTGCACCATTAACACGTGCTTTACCAGAACGTTTAGCTGAAAAAACACGTGAAAAACAAACAAAACGTGTACAATATCGAAAACGTAATGATCTAAAATTAGCCTTTAGTGAATTTTATTTAATGCTTGTCTTATTACAAAATTATCAAACACTTAACTTCACTGGTTTTCGTAAAATATTAAAAAAACATGACAAATTATTTCAAACTACACGTGGTGAAGAATGGCGGTAAGTTTTTTCTTACAGGATGACCCAAAAAACATTTTACCGATTAAAGAAATTGAATATCTCCCTTACGACTCGAACAAACGGGTTCATTCTTTTACCAATAATAAAGGCAAGATTAATGAGAATCTTTTATTAAGTATCACTATTAGAGTCCGTCGGGTTCTACCCGGACTTGATCCAGAGTCGACCGGATCCGAGTCTGAAGATTTTTGTCGGTTAGTTCCGCATTTTCTTTAAATTCTTGTTCATTTTACTCCAAAATTTTAAATTTATTTTTAAAAAATAGAAGAAAAAACAATAAAGTTCTTCCTGACTATAATATGTAAACACAGTTGCAATCATGAATCTATAAATCAGACCAAATATTATCTGGTTCTTCACTATTGTCTATAGTTTCAATAATATTCAAATAATAATCATGCACATTACTTGTTTTATACGCATTGTTTCTTCCATCAGAAGCGTTTGACGTGAGATGAGAATCAATTGTAATTTTGTTCCTACGACGATCGTAAGTGACTGTTTAAACAAAATGTAGACAATGCTATTCATGGAAAAAGAAAAAATAAATCAAACGTATGGCATGTCGTCGAGTAACAATCAGATTTATATTAGAAAATTAAATAGAATTTTACGAGTTCGGCTCAAGTTCGAACCCATAAAAAAGTGACCCCTGACCTTTGAGTCCAAAAAATTCTCTAGTGGGTCTGAGTCCAAAACTTTTTGGACTCGATGATCTCTAATTACTATTGACTCCAACAAAAGAAGTTTACCTTCTCACAAATAAGTAAAAACAATATACGATGTCGAACATCGAATTTATGTCAAGATTAAATGTAAATGTTCATTGATATTTCATTTTATTTTTCTTGTCAAATGCATGTCATAATTCTATACTGACATCAAAGACAGAATAGTAGCATATAACAATCAGTATATTTGTTTGTATTCTTGAAAAATAACTGAACATTACTTTAACGTAATTATTCCAATCGTTTGTTCTCTGTATTTATACACATCTGACAACAATCAGTAAACAGAATGACATATTAATTCCTATAATGCGATGTTATCATTGACCGACACAACTTCTTTCTCAAATAAAGACTTTAGATATTTGACATCACGATGTTTTTGTGTATACTGACGATTTTTTATGATTCTCCATAGTGAGAAGTCATAAACCGTTAGATCAAAAGAATGTGATGATCACTCAATAGTTTCTTGACGGCTAATCCAATCTAAGAATAATTGATCTAAATAATCTCGTACAAGTGGATCGTAATGGGGTAGTGCATCATCCTGTTGACAGGTCTTTGTTTGAAACGTTGAATACTCTTGGAGCTACGATATGATGTTGTTCTTCAACATTCAAACAGTGTTTTCTAACGTAAAATTATTTTCGAAAAAGAATGGTCCAGTTATACTGTTTGACCACATTCTTCTTCAGACAATCGAACATGGTACATTGAGTTTTTGTTCTATCATAAAGTGTGGATTTATAATACAATTGTGTTTGTTTGGAATGTGGCATCGTCTCTCCATAGAATTCGATGCAATAAAGTTATATTTTCTAAGTATCTGGTTTGAAAATTAAGATCTTTCATAAGATGTTGTAAGTTTGTGCATGATATATTAAGCTTATGTAACGCACATTGTGGGAGTTTTTCTGCATTTAGAAAACTTTGAAAAACAAGCTTTAATAATTTCTTCTATTTTGGTTGTTGTAAGTCTGACAATTCGTGGCACACCGTTATCAGAATCGTTTTTCTTTCAAACTTTCTTGCTAACTAATTAGTAAGTTTGTTATCGAGTTGAAACTTTGTCGTTAGGAAATTTATTTTGACAAGCTTTATTTACAGCTTGTAATATTCTTTTCTCGTTAATCTGGACATCTGCAAATATATGAGCTCAAAATAAGGACTTTACATTGAATACAAAATAGAAAATGAAGAACGTGACTTAATGAGAATAATAAAAACATAAACACAGACAAAGATGGTAGATGAATATGACTAACAGTATAGAAGGAAAGATATACAAATGAACGACACTTGGTAGTCAAAATTTTCTTTGATTATTTACATTGTACTGTGATATATTGGCTCTTCGCCATCGTATGTTGTTTGTTTTTATATCTGTGAGAAAGTAAAATTCTTTTGTTGAAGGCAATATTGATACTTAAAAAAAAGTTCTAAATCTGTTTTTATGGATATGAAGTGTGGACATGTCTTTATTAGTAGTAAAAAAACCTCTACCTGTTTGCTCGATCTACAATAGAGATATTCAATAGTTTTCGGTAACGTGACTTTTGTGTCATCCTGTATATTTTAAAATGTAACATAAATTATGTATTGTTTTTTTTTTGTATTTAGAAAACTACATATTGATTCCGCTCCATATCATACATCAAAACGAGTTGAACAATTAATTAATGAAGTTGAAACAAAATATACTGAGACACTTGAATCAGGCGATCGATCACGTGCAATGAAACGTTTGCGTGTACCACCATTAGAAGAAAAACAATCACCTGCGGTTACATTTCGTGTTGGAATTTTTGTTGGTAAGATTGCACTTTTACTTCTCGTTTGGAAAATAAATTAATAATTTAAAAAATATTCTTTTTTTTTTTTTTCTAGGAATGATTTGTCTTTTAGTTCCAACTGTTATTGCCCTTGGTACAAATCTTCATGATAGTCAATCAACAAAACCACTTGCTTGGCGACAAGCATTATTTCTTTATCGTTCAACATTTCTTATTGTTCTTCATATAATTCTAGTCGGTATTAATGTATATGGTTGGTCATCATCAGGTGTTAATCATGTGTTAATATTTGAAATTGATCCACGCAATCATTTAACTTATCAGCAATTTTTGGAAATAGGTACTTTTCTTTTTGTTCTATGGTTTTTAAGTTTTGCTGGATTTATTTTATCATCTTATTTTGATTTTTATCCATTTATTCAACCACTTGGTTTTGTTACAATGATTCTTTTATTTTTATTTAATCCAACACCTACGCTTTATCATCATGCTCGATTTTGGTTTTTAAAAGTTTTAGGTCGCATTATTTGTGCACCATTTTATCGTGTTGGTTTTGCTGACTTTTGGCTTGCTGATCAATTAACATCACTTGAATTATTATTTTATGATATTGAATATTTTTTTTGCTTTTACATTTATGATGTTGGATGGTGGCCAGTCTATTCTTCATCTCCAGCACGTGGTTTTTTTTGTTATAGTTGGCCACAAGTTCTTTTACAAACTATTCTTATGGTTTTACCATCATGGTTTCGTTTTGCTCAATGTTTAAGACGATATCGAGATACAAAACAAAAATTTCCACATTTAGTTAATGCTGGAAAATATGCTAGTGGATTTTTTGTTATTGGTACAAATGCAGCACGACGTGCAACAGCTATATATTATATTGATCATCCAGCATCAAATCCATTTTTATATATTTGGATAATAACAGCATTTATTGGTGCAACATATAAATTAATATGGGATTTTAAAATGGATTGGGGATTTTTTGATAAAAATGCTGGAGAAAATAAATTACTACGTGATCAAATTGTTTATCCATCAAAACTTTATTATTATGCAGCTATGTTAGAAGATATTATATTTCGTTATATATGGGTTATAAATGTATTTATGCAATTTCGCACACGTTCAGCTGAATATGCTGATGTTATTGGTTTTATATTTGGTTTAATTGAAATTTTTCGACGTTTTATATGGAATTATTTTCGTTTAGAAAATGAACATTTAAATAATTGTGGAGAATTTCGTGCTGTACGTGATATATCAATTGCACCAATATCAAATACAATTGATTATACAACATTAGAAGATATGATGGATAAAGATAAAGGTATTAAAAATCGACGTCAATCAAAACGACATGATTTAATTGATAAAATTCATAATCAAGAAATAAAAAAAGAAAAAAATGATAATGATACATTTATTGTTAATTCATTACGATCATTATCAACAGGTTCAAATCCAAAAATTGAAGAATTAAATCAAAGATTTACTATGGTACCATCATCAGCATCTCCTGATGAATCTTTAAATAAACGTGTTTTTTTCTGATGATTTTTTGTTTTGATTATTTCTATCAATCGATTGTATCTATTACGATACATTCCAATTATAATTAATGTGCATTTGACACTATCTAGTCATACGCATCTAAACAGCATGTATATGTCTGTATCATAATAAATCTCAAATATTTTTTCACAAAAAAAAAATGTTAAATATATCTCTATATGTTTCTCTTCTTCGTATATATTAATATTTTTTTTTTCTTGAATTCATTAATAAAAATGAATTTTTTTTAGTTTTTTTGTTTTTTGTTTTCAAGATGTTTGGTCGTATTGAATCAACCTATGTTGGTATAGGTCTTGCATTACGTGTATTTCTTTTCTTGCAAACAAGAATAAGAAATTATTTTGAAGATAGTGGAGAATTTGTTACACCATTAAATTCATGGAAAAGAGGTAAACATATAGGCTTGGAAATAATGTACTTGAAGTTCATTGTGTATGTTTTTAGTTATCGAAGGAATTTATTTACGAAAACTCAATCTTTCACCATTTGTTGGGTCGATTGTTCATGAAGTACGTTAAGTTTTACATTAAAACATTGATATAAGAAACTTGATTTAGTTTCGATTCGATCGATACGAATGATTAATAAATCAGAAGTTAATAGGAACTAAGACTGAGTTTATTTCGGTTTACATGAGTTTGTAGCTAGAGAGAATTGAATCACATTTGTTTCAGATATTTCTTATTATAGAACCTTTAAATAAAGTGTAGTTTGTATCAGAGAGATTCATCGTCCGCCGTTGTTTCTCATCTTATACACCCGCTATAAAACCCTATTGCTATGACGCTTCCTTTTTTTTACAAAAGAATGTATGCCAAACATTGAAAGGAACTTAATCGTTGGCAGATACAGACAAAGTACTGTATTCGAATCTCAATATCCATAGGCACGAAATGACTTTGGACAAGTTACTAACGACTGATTGTCTTGGATCACCCATCAGAGATGTCCATCGCGGCTCGAAATCTGCCGCTGCCGCGCCGCGATGATTTTTTTAAAAAATTTTCTGCTCCCGCGCCGCTGCCGCGATGGTACTCGAAAAAAAGTTTCGAATTTCATTGCTGTGAATGTACTGAAATACAATTCTTGCCACTAATCGATGAGATTCATTGAGTCTTAGAGTGTTACGTTTGTGGACACTCAATTTTTGGGAAATTCATGAAGCTTTGGCAATGTCTTCTAAAAGGAGCCTGCCGCACCGCTACCCGCCACCGCGACAGCGGCAGCGCCGCGATGGACATCTCTGNCACACCCACCCACATCTTTGATTATGATTTTACAGAGAATTTCACGGCGCATCTTTTGAAAAAACAATTAGCTCTAAAGACCAAAAAGAAAAAAAGTTATAGTCAAAATACTGAGAGGTCCATTTAATCTGACTCACCCGTTAGTTCGCAATAAGATTTCATTAAAGATTTTTTGTTGATTCTTGTATTATCTCACTCAGAAAAATGTTGAAATCTTACGCCGCTTTGGATGTTCTGTTGTTGTCGTTTGAGTCTGTTCAGAAATACTGTGTTCTATATGGAAACAAAATTATGTAGTATTCATAAAAAGGTACTCGTTAAAATCGATAACATATAACTATGGTTGTCGTAGTCGTTTCTGTTGATTCACCACGTGTGGTAAATACGACAATCAGTATCACGGTAACACATATTACTAACACAATGCACAATATTTTCAGCATGACATAACGGTCACGACATTGATAGTGTACCAATGGATGGCAGCATTTTACACTTACTATTGTATTTCCTGCTTCTTTTTTTGTGCTGTTTTTTGTACCATCTGAACATGAAGAAGCTGAATCATCGATTCTTTGCAAATCTTCTTGGCATTGACCAGTCATTAGTTATACTTACTCAAAGCGAACAAAACTGAAATACAAATGTGAACATGAGTGTCATTTGTTTCATCAACAAAAAAAACTGGAAAGATTTGAAAAATCTGACTGCGTAAAAAGCAGTTTAGTCTCTCTGAAACGATTTGTCATAAACAACAGAGACAGAGATCAAATCGAATTCTAGAAAAGCTGCTTGATTATGTTATGTCAATAAAAAAAGAAAGATACATTCATCTCTTCTATGTTGTACATATTTTCCCAATGTATTTATTAATTGCGCTCGTGAACATAGTTCGCGAGAGGTGGAAGAGCTACACACACATCCCTAGATGAAAAGCATTCATTCTAAGTGACCTCATTTGAATTTTTGAAGAAACAGGCATAGAAGAAAAGGTGTTCATTTCTTAAAACAGGGTTCTATCACGTAAAGCTGTTTCATAACGAAGCTTTTTCCTTTCGAAAGGTCAATTCATAACAAATTTTGTAATTGTTTTTCATGTGCGTGCCACGTTATTTAAGTCACAACGTTACTTCAGAGAGAGACTTTTTCATCCAAGGTCTAGGTGGGCTAAGTGACTCAGTTCTTTGTGCCGGCCGTAAACTTGACATATAAGTTTTAGTGAGTTAGTAACAAGTGTTGATATTAGTTATAAAATTTCGACGGAACATTTACATTTACTGAAACTTTCAGAATTTGTAAGACAATTCGATTTGAATATGTTCTAAAAATCTCAGTGTTATCTGGCATCATGGCATTAAGATACAGAAATTTTGTCATGTAAAAGCTAATCTCGTCACGCTTAGATACGTTGACTCCGATTTCAGTCATTTGAGCTTCGAAGCATCTATGGAGATGTTATAAAAATCCTGCTTTAGTCCGACAGCTTTGCCCAGGCTCTGTGAGACTTTTCAACAGGAATTGGTGATTCTTAATAGCTGCAGCTCAAAAGATTTATAGAGAGCTATATTGAGTCAGTTCTGGAAATATCGAACGAAATTGCAACTTTGCCCAACATTTGTTTTTTTAATCTTGGAGAGATTCTTGCTGTTATTTTGAGTGCTTCATGTAGTACTGTACGTCTGGTGCTCATAGACGGCGGCGCTCCAAAACTTGGACAGGCTGAAATGAAGTTTACCTTAAGTAGCCAACCATCTGCCGAGATTTCTGGAGAGCGACTCATCAGAGAATTTTGAAACTTTCGAAGCAGATGGATTTAGATGAGAAAAGCAAAATTTGTTTTAGAGTCAAAACTTCTCAACGCCTCCTTCTACGAAATATTGAGGTAGCAAATATTAGAACCCGTTCCCGTGATCATCTAGCTTTCTCAGCCACAATACTTTCCATAGGGCTGAAACCTTTTTCGGTATATTTTGATCTCCTTTCATTCAAGTAAGAAGACTAAAATGCCAAGCGTAGTCTCAAAAACATGTCTTTTTTGCCAAAGTTTATTTTAGTGGAATCTATCAAACAAGAATCAGAAAAATATTTTTCAAAAGGAGAAAATATTAGCCATCTCAGGTAGTGTCTAGTATATGCATCAAAATATTTCGACTCGGTCAAATATTTTGTGTCAGAGAAATGGAGATGCCTCTGGGCTTTTTTGTGTAAAAACTGCTGTTGGAAATAACGAAAACGAAGTTTTCTGAATCCATTAGAAGTTTTTTCTGGAACCAGATTGGTGGAAAACTGGACAGGTTCAAGAGTGCTAAGGGCCCATGATTAATTCTTTAAGCACGTTTGGAATAAGAAAATAATCATAATCATCAGTACAACTTCGCATAGATTGTAGTAATCCTGACCTTAGTTTTCTCGTACGGTGTTTGAAAAGTTAGATTTAATGAATATACCAGCTAACAGTGACGACCCCCTATCTGCGTGGTATTGTACTGAGAACACTTCATGGATATATTAGTGATGAAAAACCAAAATTTGCATATATTTTGATTTTTATCTGCGGAAAGGACAGTGGTTCTCTTATGGTATTGCAGACTAGAGTAGACTCAAACATTTTTCTCTCTTTCCATCAGTGAGTGATATTCGCGCAAACCCATTTCAATCGTTCTCTTTTCAGTTATCTTAGCAACTGATAATCTATAGAGCACCAGCCTTTTATGATAAAAGCTCAATTGGGACTGTGACTTCAACCAACGATGATGTAGCAAAATCTTGATATAGATGTTAGATTGACAGTTTCCGCAACGACGATAATCCTGAATCGTTCACACTGTGACTTTATGAGATTGTGTAGGTTTATCACATCACCGTTTCCACTTATCAGTAATAATAAGTGTATGATGCGCTTCATGAGTCGATGAAAATTGCTCTCTAGCAATAAATACTGTAATCAGTTGTGTAAAACTGCATCTTAATTCTTTATGACAATGAGAACAATTTCAAATAGCCGGTTTCATCACTAGAGGCATCATTTTCCTATTACTTTGAATTAGAAATAAGTTTAAACTATTTCTCTTCATCATTTCACTTTAAAAATTTATTGAAATTACCATAAGCTAAGTCTATTTCAAATTTAAAGTATTTACACTATAACCTTTTAACTTAAAAGTTAAATTAAATTATTTTTGATTTTTGTGACACTTCATGGAAGGAATCTACCCAGTTTTAAAGATTATATTTAATTATGAAGTATGTTTTTTAGAATATTTGTATTCAATCGATAGCAAGGGAGATCATATACCGTATTATTATCAAGCAACAGGTGACGGTCAATCTGAAGTTTGTGACTGATTTTTTTCTCATCAAGGAAGGTCTATTTTTGAAAAATAATGACTTTTTATAAATTTTGATCAAATTTGTCGCCCTAGATGAATCTGAGTCTATAGGCGCCTGCTGAGGATTTTGGAGCTTCATTTTCTTCACAAAACTTACAAATATTGAACTTCATAGATTTCAGAAATCTTGACCAAGCTTTAAAAAGAACCGAACGATTATTTTCGAAACATAGTCCTTTCTTGACGAGAAAATCAAAGTTACAAATTCCAAATTGTCTGTTACATGTTAATTGTTAGTGATACGGTAGCTGACCTCCCTTCCTATCGTAGTTTAAACTTGCTTTTAATTTAATCTAATCGTAAATTAAATTGAAAGTAAAAGTAAACTGAGATCCTATTCATCACTAATTCATCGAGTTGAACTTGACTGCGCATACAAGTCAGCAATTCAGCTAGCCTTTGTCCTATTCGTTAGGATGTGTGAAGATGTTTGCATTCAGGCATTCAAGGATTGTCATATGTCTTTGCAAACTCTTACTTTAATATATGTTTAGATAAACATTTTTGGCGTAGACTGTCGATAGATATGAACTGTGTAAAGCAGCACGGTTTCCGGAATTTTCCACACTGCATTCATGGTGTCTCAGTAGAGACAAATGTGATTCGCAAGCTGACTAATAGCGCAGCAACGAGTATATAGACTATGAAAAATCTTTCCTATCTCCTCTGATGGGCTAATCTTTCATCAAACTATAATGTAAGAGATGTATCTTGATCTAGACTTCTATTCTCTTTCTCAATAAGCGGTTGTTATACCCATGAATAAAAGTTTGTGTTTATGTCGTTAGAAAGTTAATGGTAACTGAGCTTAGAGAAGCCTTTTTCGAAATCATGTGTATCTAGTAATAAAATTGTTAGCTACTGATGAAACTGAAAAATATGCTATGTATGGAGCCGATCATTGCTTGTTCAATAGAACACGAAGATGCCAAATCCATTCACTGCATCTGAAGATAATCAGAAAAGTAGCAATGAAGCAAAAGAGAGATGAAATATTTCATCTGAAACATTTAACAAGTTTTTGATGATCAGAAATTTTCCTCATAATTAAAAGCTGCGAATATTGAGTGTATTCAGCTTTCTCAGAGAATTTTTACAATACAAAACTTCAGTATGCAGCACTGAATGAGTTTTATGATGCTGCATGCAGAACTTGGAAAGTGTTTAAAGTATGAGAAGAAGCGAAATGCTTTCTTTTTTTTATTTACTTACTTGTGATAAAGGAGAATGGAGAGAAAATGAGTCCGTCCCTTTGTGAGATAAAATGTAAGCGGCGTTGTTTGGTTTTAACTATTTGAAAATAGATGTGCGTGCTGGGTTGTCCGCAGTGAAAACAAGTCAATAACGCTGATAACATTTTTACCTGACAACGTCGTCATGAGATGACAAAACCAGTTGGATTTTTTCAAAGGGATAGCAGCGATAAGACCATTTGCATCCACCATTGTTTTTGCATAAAAATTACCTAGAGATGGGAAGTCAACACATGGGGAACACTTTGCACATCTCTATTTTGCAAAATTCATCTAACTGATTTTTGCGACTCTGCATCCTTCTCAAATATTGATCGCAAACTGATTGTCTCTGTTCATTGCACTAGACATATCAATCGATGGAGAGTTCCGCACTGATTAAGAATATATACTACTCATTTTAAAGAGGGTGTAAGTCAAAGTGGATAGCTGAAATTTCATACTGGTTATCTGTGCTTACTCAGCGTCTCTAAATCGAAAGATTTCTGGAAAATAAAGTTTTCGGCTTGCGACAACTGCGAATTAGCAGAATTAAAATTAGTTGTTCCATTATAACGTTTTTCAACAAAACACAGACAAAGTCGATATTCATCTTAACATTGAATTACATAGATGTAAAATTTTAAGACTTTTAAGAAAAAGTTCACTGTTTGGTTACAGTGGAGCGCACATATACATATATCTTCAATATCTTTAGAAAAAATATGTGTTTTAGTAGTTTATTACTTCGGAAAAAACCTCTTGATAGCAGATTAAAAAGGGAGTAAGCGAGTCATGCATATAAGGGACAAATTAATACGTACTTGATAGCCTAAAATTTCTGAAAAGTCATATAGTCTCTAATAAGGATTAATTCTACGGTTCCGTTTGTTAGGCAATACTGATCGTTTATATACAGAAGAGCAAGAAAAAGTAGGGCCCAAATTCGAGTCAATAAATATCGAACTAAATTTACCAAATTCAAGTGTTCAAATCTGATATGTAAATGAGCTCACTGATACTATGAAGTTTGTCACAAAAAAAGTGAAATGGCGAAAGTATTACTGATCACTTCATAGTATTTTACGAGCGTCAGATATGTCTCTCGTATGTTCTAGAAATTTTTTTATGAATATTACATGACGTTTGAAATCTTTCTGTAATGTGTTTTGATACTTATTAAAATGAGTTTCCCAGTACTTCATATTTTTTTGAAGTTCTGTTTCAATCCTTAATTTCTCGATACTCATAGTGTGTGCTACAATCTTTGTTAGATATCACTATTAAAAATACTCAGCTCCACTGGCATGATTTGTCTCGGATGAAACTTCGAAAGATCGTGCAATTACGTGTCTTTTTTCGAACGAAGGAATTACAAAAATATGAAACAAATCATTTTACATCCTCAAACAAAAGTTTTTTTTCTCTTTTATCTACTTATGTTATCACACTTTGCATCAAGTTTATTACTGAGTGAAGATATGATGAGAGAGTTTGATTTCAGTGTAACCTGCAGACCAAAATGAAATAAAATTCATTTCATATCTCTACTCAGTAATAGATTTGAGGATGTGGGTGGATATAGGCGTGAGTAACGGTGCAGTTGTGGCTGTAGGTTAAGTTGAAGAGAAGATCTACATCCACACTCTCAATATTTTATTAAATTCGAATACATGGGAAGAATATTTATCCAAGATATGTCTTAAATAGCTTACTAGCTTTGACAGACATTCAAAAATATTTGAAATAAACTTCAACTATTTGTACATAATTATGAAAATATTGGAACATATCTTTTTTTTTTGGTTACTTTATGACTTTTTCTGAAAACAATTAGTTATTTAGAGTAAACAAACTGCTGCGAAACGAGGATATGTATTGTTTTCTTCTGTTTTATCTTTCTCACTCTGTTTGCCATATCTGTATTGTGATATTTGGTTTGATTTCTTCTATCAAGTGATCGTAATATGTCACCGCAGTCATTTAATGTCACCATTTAAAATGAAGATAAACTCATCTTATTGACAACTAAAGCACAATAAACTATGAGAGCAAGAGCCCCTCACGTATACGCTTAACATATCGTGAATATTGCAGTATGAAATGTTTTGCTGTCTTCGATTGATAGTTGCCATAAATGATATTTAAACTAGATTGAATTTTTATATTTATTGTAGAATTAGAGTTAATCAAACTGTTAATTGTATGTAATGTGCATTAGGCAAATAGATACGATTCAGAATGAAAGTCAGCATTTATTCTTTTGTGTTATCAGCAGCTAACCAAACTTAATCATTAAATATGCTAGTATTTATTAACAATAAGATCGATTCGTTCATCTATGTCGAACTGTTATTAAAGTTGAATTCAATCAATTAATACAAACGGAAATAAAGGGTGGACCACAAGTGCTGACTCAACTTGTATAATAAGATTTTCCAAAAATGAAATTACTACATGTTTGTAAACTTGTTTCTACGATGAAAAGATGCAGTAAAACACGCTCTACGAAATGACTATAGATTGATCCCTCTTGTCCATCTAGTAAGAAAATTATAAACTTAGAAAGTATGCTTGATAAAAATAATAAAAATTAACCATGAATTTTTCATAATATAACTGGAAAATGATGGGCTTAGTACAGCTTGAACGCTCAGCTCGCTTACAAAATTATTTGAGAGCCATTATGTAATTAATTTTAGATGTCAAACACGTTAACCTTACGAGAGGTTTCATGGACTCATTCTTTCTTTAAAAGAAATAAATCCTACATGGATCCCAGCCATCATTGATGATGAACTATTGTTAGTGTTTATCCTTTTTTAAATGCATTAATCTTTTTTTCTGCTTTTTTTGAAGAGTTCTGTTATAACAGTTCTTGATGCATCACATTTTGATTTATCTTTTATTGTTCTTTTTAATGCATCATGGCATAAGGGAGGCGGTTTTTCATAAGATTATAATTCATCAGCAATGATGGCTGCGATCCATGTAGAATTTATTTATTTCAAAGAAAGAATGAGTTCATGAAAGTTCTCGTCTAAAGTTAACGTGTTTGACATGTAAAATTAATTATATACTGACTCTCAAATAATTTTGTAAGCGAGCTGAGCGTTCAAGCTGTACTAAGCCCACCATGTTATAGTTATATTATGAAAAATTCATGGTTAATTTTTATTTTTTATGAAGCATATTTTCTAAGCTTATAACTTTCTTACTAGATGAGCAAGATGGATCAATCTATTGTAATTTTTTGTAGAGCGTGTTTTGCTGCATCTTTTCATCGTAGAAACAAATTTACAAACACGTATTTCATGTTTGGAAAAACTTATGATACAAATCAAGTCAGCAGTTCTGGTCAACCCTTTAAATATATAATATGAAATACAAAGGGATCAAACGCGAGGTTAAAAACAAATTTAAAAAAAACCGATTGAATAGATATAACATCAAAGAGAGAGATGATCTAAGAAGAAGAAACGATATCACTATCCAGCGAGAGAAATAGAAGAGAGAAGAAAGAGAAACGAAAAAGGAAAACACGAAGTATAATATAGGTTGCGGATGTGGGTGTGGATGTATCTTATGGTCTAAACCCACACCCTTCTTCTCATTCACACTCTAGTGCCGTTCGATTCGCAAGAGTCGAAAGCCTAGAGTTTGACGTGAATTCGGTACCACTCCTTGTCCAGAAATGATTTCTCAAACGGCTAGACATGTCTTCAGACACTTTCATCCAATTTTCTTAGGACAAAACGAAATGATCTGAAACTTTGTGTGCATGTATAGCAGCTATCGTGCATTAGAATACACATACGAAATAAAAAAAACTGTCCTGTGTTCATCGAGTTCGGGCACATTGTTTTGAAAGGTAGCGTCTGCAAATACTTGGTTCAATCGCTGATCAAATAAAATGTAATGTAGTTCGACATCCCATAGTAGCGGCTAGATGTTGGTGAAAATCGCAGATCGATAAGTGCAAGTGTCGTAAAAATATCTAAAAAACAGGGGAGTCCATTTAAGTTTGGCGCCAACAATAAAAAACAGTAAATACCAACACTTACTAATTTCTAACAAAATGGACAAATCGATTATTCACTAGTGACTGTTACGTGATTTAAATATATTCGATTACATATAAGTATTGCAGACTAGTTAAACTAATCACTGATTATTTGCTAGCAACAAATGGGTAGTGATAACTACTGCCGACTAGCAACTACTACGTGATAGAGACTGTACTTACTGAGAACGTTACAATAAGATAGTATATTTATTTTCGACTGTGTTGGCTCCATTCTAAATTTTCGATTGAATTTCATAGACATGTCATCTTCTTCTATCTTTACAGAAGGGGTTTCAATATCGATAATTGATTATGACAACATTGCCATCTGCCGCATCAACCATGTCGACTTTGCCCATTGATGACACGTCAATAACTCATTCAGGTGTTGGTGACAATAGTCAATTGGGTGATTGTGATACTTTAATAAAGAAAAATCAATCGACTGATATCGGTCAACACCATCGAGAACCAACTTATCGCGCAATTGAACATGATCTACGTCGATTGAACTTGAACGATAGTTCTTCGCATCATTTGAATGATTCACGGACAATCGAAATCAATTTTCTTCTACCCTGTCGTCTGCCATTTGTCGATACCACAACATCAGACAATTCACTTCTCGAAAGCGAAGATAATCCATCCAAATACGATGAACATTTCTGGTCCAATATGTCTGTACTTTCACAACCGTGCATGTACTGCCAACAGACATCGATGACTAAGGCTCTATTCAGAAGTAGAAGTGGTCGAATATTGGTGACGTCTGCTTTAGATATCATCAGTCAGACCACATCGGTCATGAATCCTATCCTGGGAAATTTGAGTCTAAATACACCCAAATCTTCCTACTGTATCATTTGTTTATGGTGCTCGCGAGGCTATCATCGATTGTGCTGAAAACGTATTGCTAGCCAAGATGACAATATGCAATGTGACTATGGAATATTTTGGTAAGTTTAGAATGAAGATTATGCAGATGAAATAAAAAGAAACCTTGCATGGCTTTCATACTTACGAAAATAATCGGTCACACTTCTCATCAAATTCATCATTATCTTGAAACTTTTGCACCGCTGTTCGTTAATGATTAGTGCATAAGTCCGATTTGATCGTAGGATCAATGAATGCTGAAACATACTTATAATTATATAAAATTAGAGATATATTCATAAGACAACCCTTTCTAATTTTTGAGTTCATTGAGAAGTTGTTTAGAATGCCCTCGTGATTCTCTTCGTTTAATTCTAATCACTTGTTGAGATCAATATGTTGATTTCCTTCGATAGAAATATTATTGTTCGACTGCAGTGGCCCAGTCACTCCATCAAATCTCCAGCTGGTTTCATAGCCCGATTACCTTCGCATTCGACCAAAAGTAACTTTGAATCAAACTCTTTTCCATATACACCCGTTGTTGTGTTCATAAATAAACGTTCTGGTGGTCAACAAGGGGATAAATTCTACCGCGAACTATTACGCAAACTCAATCCACGTCAAGTATTTCTTCTAGAAGCCCGGGCTTATCCATCGAGAGATAATTCACCTTTTCATTGGTACAGCAAAATCGAAAGAGTATATTTCAAATTGGTCCTATACCTCAACTGTTTGTCAAGCATCCGAAATTCGTTCTCGAAAAAAATCAAGCCTTCTATGATAAAAATCATCACGAGATACCACATAAACTTTTCATCAATTACATGAGTTTCGGTTTAGACGCAGCCATTACACTAGATTTTCATGATAAACGCCCACATGATCCATCGAAATTTTTGTCCCCGTGGAAAAATAAGTTCATGTATTTGAATGAAGCTGCAAATATTTCAGTGATTTTGCTCAAGCGAATATGTGGAATCTCGGCTCTTATATTCGTTTAATATGCGATGGTCGTGATCTAACTGATGCTATACTCGATTGTCATACATTAGTCGCACTTAACATTTCAGGCCATGCATTCGGTACAAATCCATGGGGATAGTAGTTTTCATCGAGAAGCTCATTTATCTTTCAGAGTAATCGATCGTCGATTTCTCAAAGAATTAGCAACTCTGCCAATAACAGATCGGTAAGTTCAGTCAATATATTCGATTCGTTAGTTGATACACACGAAGCTGCTGAACCTGTTACATTGAATGAATATGTTATACATCAAATTATTAGCCCATCGACGATGACAACCGCAACCGATTGGTTCGAGCAACAAGATTTCGAAGATAAAAGTCGAAGTTGTTGGCTTAACTTCTACACATATGGCTACGATCCATATGGGTTTTAGTAACAATCGGATTGCTCAATGTAATCAATTGCGTATTGAACTTTGCAGCCCAATGACATCACAAATAGATGGTGAACCGTTCTATCTTCCCTCTTCAGTAACTGTCACTGTTAACCATACTGGTCAAGTGCTTGTGTTAAAAAATCAGAACGAATAGATGAAAATATTCATTTTTGTGCGTGTGTTTCCTGTATGCACTTTTTCGATTGATAAAATAAAGACCTGTTAAGCTTTGAACGAAGTTCGTAGCTGAGTAACAAAGATGTCGATCGTTACTTTTTTCTCGAAAAGATTTTCTTAACAATGACTGTAGTGTCTTGACTGATGAGAACATCGACTTGAATAATTTATCGTTTATGAATTTGTCTCAGTTTTTCGATTGGTCTACTAGATATCGTATTAAGTGCCCGAGAGATCTAAATACTATTATTTGTACATTTTGTAGACATAGAATTATAATAATAGCAGAAATGTAAGAATGTTCTGTTAATTAAGCAGGGAGAATGAGATTAGCAGTCATATCTATCTATGTATTTAATACAATATGAAATTAAACTGACAAAACACAACAATAATCAATAATGTCAGAAACGAGTGACTAGTGGTGATGTTGGAAAAGCGACAGATATTGTTGGTTTGAATTTTTCATAAAAGAATTTTTTCTTTTCTTGATATTCAAGTATCACTAATTGTTTCCAACTACCAATAAGTATTTGTGCACTATATTCGATCTCTTATTGATCTTTCATTGAGTCGAGTAAGCCTCGATGTCTACCCATGCACATGACAAGTATGATCACAACCTTGCTAGGTGAAGTAAGAACAGAGACAAGACTCGGCACTCCTTTCGAAAGTTCCATGGAAAAACCACATCCACCAAAGGCACTAATCACTTCGAATATCACACGGAATACGGTAATAGTTGGATCACTGAGTATCATACGAGACGCTTCAAATGTGCAAATAAGAAAGATAAAGATAAATAGCCATGCTTGAGTCGATATAAGAAGACTGAAGAAATTGAGAATGACATGTCGACAGAAAGTGATCAAAAAGAGTTTCATGCGAAGTAAAGATATATGAATATTATTTTGAGTATTTTCTTCGTTTCGATTTCTCACATAACGCATATCAGCAGAAGCAATACTCAAACGATGTTGATTTCGTTTATCATTAAGTTCATCAAGAGCTGCTTCAACACGATTGATAGAAATTGTAGAAGCAAAGTATCCGTTTGCTTGAGCTTTAGTAATCGAGCCTTTTCGCAAAAGATAATTTTGCATTCGATTAAATGGTAAGAAAATTTTAAAATTAGCATTTTGACTTCCATTAGATATGTTATTTTCTAGTGTTTGTTGTGTTTGCAAAAGTATCCATTCCATTTCAAATGGTGTTTCATTAATTGCACACAACTAAAAATAAGAAAATGGTTTTGTGTTACGAATCAGAAAAGATTGTCCAGAAACGTCAAGAGAATAAGAATATCAATGCAACAAAATGGTTTCAATCATTAGTTTTTCTCAAAACAAAAAAAATCTGAAAATAGATTCTGCTATCGAACAGAAATAGTCAGAAATGGTTCAAAGTATGAGTTTGTTCACAATGGCTAATAAGGGAAAAGTTTTACGTTCCATACGTTACTCTTCTGAAGAGAGAACTTATGTAAACGTCTAGCTTTACTTCATAAACATATTTCAGGAAAGAATAACAAACGTACCATTTGAGGTTTGATACCCATCAAAAGAACATAAATGACCAAAGTTCCGGCAGAAAGTAAACTTATATCGATTGTTGTATAGCCTTTAACAACAAAAAAATAAGTGGATATTGTTTAAGATACATTTTTTCGATAAAATGTACTAATTACTCAGTACCTGCAAAACGAGTGTTCACTGTCTGAAACATAAATATCATGAATCGTTGACCTTCGCTATACATGGCCATTTCTTTGTCGTGAAAATCGTTCACCAAAGACACTGTCACACCAACTGAAATAACGACAAAAAAGAAGTTGATTTATTCGACAATATGATCACTCACGTATCTGTAACAAAATAGTAATAGAAACATAGAGTCGTGTTTGAACACCAGGATATATCACAGTAGACAACCGATGATTATTCAATAAGATATAATCAATATAGATCTTGTATCGCCAACTGAACATAATGCCATTTTAATTAGCTATTAAAATGTAAAGTAAAGAGAGAATTAGTGAATACTTACGATACCAAGTATTTAAGTAAGTCAACGATTCCACGAAGAATAGCTGGAAATAGAGATGTGCCAGACATGACAATAAGCATTATGGTTATGTTCATGAAGACATCCGTGACAAAAAGTGACATGCTACCTTTCCTAGAAACACATTTTTCAAGCTCTATGACTTCTGAAACTATATAGGCACATAGAAAAGAATACTAAATATAATACCAGAGTGAAAGGCCATTTTGATTGAAACCGGTCAGAGTGATGACAAGTGAAACATAGAACGGATTGACTGTACTATTGCCTCAAAGCAGATATTGTGGATCATAGTGATATTGAAGCCACAAACCAATAGCAAGAAATGAGATGAAATAAATAGTGAAACAAGTCGAAAGAATGAGAATAATTAGGATGGTATATGCTGTAGTACGAAGATCTTTTGGACTAGGCAGTAATCGAAGACGTTGATTCAATACAGGATCAGAAGAATTTAGTTGAATAAGTTGTGTAATTGGCAAACTATTGTCATTGGCAGTCGATGAAAGTGTTTCCTCATGAGGCGTTATTTCGCGTTTGACCCGATAAACCTTGATGAAAATAGCAGGTACTGTACTTACAGTAATACCTGTATGATAATCACAGAAAAATGTCATAGATGATCTGTCGTTCTTTTCCACTCACCCAAGATTAATGTAAAAATAAGCAATACAATTTGTGATGCTTGACTGAATGATCCAAAATCGTAGGTTTCCAATCCACATGTGAATACACATGTTGCACTCATAAATCAACAGTCAAGATAGGGCACACGTTTTTGTTCAATGTTCCAGACGATGACACCACACAACAATGTATTGCAAAAGAATACCGAGAGATGTATATAGAAATAGTGTCGCATGCGCCATTCATAGTTATCCCAAAATTTTCTCCATTTCGAACATCAAATACCTAGTGGAATAACAGCATCAGCAGTAGCATTGATCATATTGATTTCTGCTTGAACCATACTGCGTTGAGTTTCGGTCGCAGATGTAATCGATTGTTTTCGATCAAAGTCAAAGTTATTCATCGGTTGGATAATGATTTTGTGTTTGTCTAACTTGTGTCGTTCTCGTACTAGTACGAACTGGCAATGAAATATTATGCTTCTGACCTTCAATTTCTTTTTTTAGTGAATCTTTGATTGATCTTGACTCTCTTCTCTGAACATAGTTTATTCTTACAATAACATATAATTGCTGCTTTCTATCGTTATTTTTTAGAAAAACAAGCACAAACACACCCTGCACAGTATTTATGCGCAATACGTTTTCACCTGCGGCTACATACTAACAACACTCATGATTAGGTGAAATGCGCATTTCATATTCATTTTTTTCCATCTAATCGAGAAAACTTGATTATCACTGCGAATTAATAACAAGCCTTGTTTTTGTTAGTAAAACGACTGTTGAGTTAAAACAATTGTAAGTAGAAGAATTAATGCAAACTTTTTGCGTAGAGTCTAATAACAAGATACACTCTTGTGTCTAACAACAAATCAACTTTGAAACAAGGTGCACTAACGTGCATGAAACCAATTGACGCTAGAATGTCTATAATAATGAATGCATGACAATGGCAGAAAGAGTATTGAAAAAAAACAGAATTCATTACGGGTTATCAGACAGGACATAGCTTTTTTTTTTTCGTTTATTACTTTCTTGTTTCTTTATATTTTACATATTCACTATCGTTTGTTACACATGATAACAGCATCTCAAGAAAAAGAAAAGAATATGCATATAAAAAATAAAGTTTACATTCCATTAATATCTGGTGGAGACAACATCGTCTATCGAAACGTCATAATTGAATTTCAAATTTTATTAGTTCATTATTTTATTTAGCTATTTAATTTATTTTGATTTAATTCTTAATTTTTAATAAAAATAAATTTTCATCTTTATAAAACTTAGAGAAATGAGAACGAGTAGTTTACTAAAAATATTAATTAGAAAAAAATCAGATGTCGTAGAATCACTGACTAAAATGTGTTGTAATTTATGTGTTTGTCCTACTATAGGAACCGTATGTTGTTCATAGTTCATACTGTCAAAAAACGAATGTATCGAATCATTTTTTTTAAGTGAAGAATTGAGCCTAGTTCGAAATCTAGTCAAAATTCTCTTCAATTCATTTCTTTTATCAAAAGACTAAGATAATGTTTTTCAGAACTTTTTCTACAAAAGAACGTTTATTAATTAGGATGTGGGTGTTGGTTGCTGTGGTGTAGAGAAGACTCTCACCCATCTACACCTACACCCATTCAAATCACTCACGAATACGATCCGATTATGAATTCATTAATGAAAACAAAAAATATATTGAAATCTTTTGGTCAGACTTGGCACACATGTCTCAGATTTGAAACAAAACTGATTAAACTGAAATAAACCATTCGAAGGAATTTGATCATTTTCGTCAAATAATCTATAACATAATCAGAGAGCAAACCTAATTTTTGTTCAGAATATTATAACCAAGTACCCGACTAGCTGTAGACGAACTCATTCTTGTAAACATATCATGTAGATTTTTTTATAACAAGTTTTACATCAATTTAAAGTCATTCAGACTTCCTATTTCTTGAATGAAACGTCTTTTAATTGGCAAATAGAAAATATTCTATTGCTATATATATAAAAACAATCGTTTTATATTCTTCTTTAATCTATCATTTTTAAGTGGAATAGTAGAATATCATAGATAATGATACAGACATCGACATACACGAAGTCGATATAGATTTCAAGAAAAAATCATATGAACACTTCTGCAACTAAACACCTAAGTTTCACCCTACGATTTGCTAAAAGAAAACGCCAATTACACTTTTGATGTGACACAGAAAGTAAGAAAATTAATAAGTGAATATTAATTTTGTCATATGACATCATTCATACTTGTTTACAAGAGGCATGCGTTCGTTTCTCATTCTTTCTCTACCGATCTATTTTATTATTTTTTGCACTTAAATCGCCAAAATAACAACAAACAAAGAAATTCTTGTCGATCTGAATACTATCAGCTTCTTGAATAACCATATCGTCTGATATTCAAATCCTTTTTTTCTTCATATGTAATACTTTCCGATTGATAGTAAAACTCTCAAATACAGCAAAATTCGTTCATGCGGTTGACTGTCAATAGAAGATTTGGATTTTTTAATATTAAAATGTGCGATGTAGCATTATACCCTATCGGGTAACATGTCGATTTTCATCGTAACTCGTAAATGTTACACTCTATTGGGCACATATTCTTGGCCTAGCATTGCTCTTACTATGAACGACAATGATACACAACTAGTGTACATATTGATTAAGGACAAGGGTGTGAGTGCGAGTGACTAACGAATGCGTGTGAAACTCACAAATACACGCACCACGATGCATACCTTGTAATGAAACCCACTAACACCCATAACTATGCAAAGTTTCATCAATATTCCATGTACTCTGTCGAAGTTAGATTTTTAATAGGGGCAGGAGAGGAGACGTAATGGCATGTTGCTTAGTTGGCAATAGCTATTTTTTTATTGTTCTTTTACCTCTAAAATTTATGAGTTGTCGTCGGTACAACATGTGACATCACGTCAGTTTACATCCGTACGTCAGAAAGAAAATCATTGCTACTCCCTATCGAAATTACTTTGACGCATGACAATGCATATGCAAAGAAGAAGCTATTCATTGGTGGTAAAAGAAAGTCCTTCGATTATACGACAACAGCTGTTCGAACTAGTTTATCATGATAAATCGAGCGAGCTTGATAAGTATTTACATGAGAGACCCCGTATGTCTAATACTTTCACTATGGTGAATCGATTAAACAACGAATACCTTAGTCTGTTAATGGTGGCAAGTTTACATGGATATGACGCTGTTGTGCGTGTCTTACTTGCTCACTGCCCTGCTGATATTGACCAAACTGAACTCAAAGGACGTGTCTATAGCAACAATGGAGATTTAGTACATAACGCAACTGCATTGTGGTGCGCACTTGATCGAGCTCACTATGGTGTAGCACAAAGTTTGATTGATCTGGGTAAAGCTAACGTTAATAACGGTCCATTTCATCCACTTTTAATTGATGCCATTATTAGGGAACGATTTGACATCGTTTGCTTCTTGGTAGAGAATGATTATGCTGATGTTAATGAAACAATGACCAATGATCAGAATAAATGCAGCAGTCTCATCGTAGCTGCCGCCAAAGGCAATACACAGATCATGACTTATCTCATAGAAAAAGGCGCCAAACTCGATTATAGAACGTGTATTCATGAAAACACGCCTCTTACTGTTGCTGCCATAGAAGGTCATATAGCATCAGTAAAGCTACTATATTTGGCTGGCGCCTCTTCTAATGTGACAAATCGTTATGGAAAGACTCCACTGATACTAGCAGCCGAGAATGATCGACTTAATGTAGTAGATTTTTTACTCGACTATAATCAAGATGAAACAACTTTCAATAATCTTGAACTACTTGCTTCTTCCTATATGGTCTCCAAGAATGATGATGAACGTCTGGAACCTGAACGGATGATTCGCTTTTTGCGACAATCAACAGAAAAGCGTTGCTCAGCCTATTGCTGCTTATGATTTTCATAAAGAATGCCAGTCCATCGATGATCTAAATCAGATTTAACATGACACTAATCGTCTATATACTGAGGCATTGCTTATTCGTGAACGTATTCTTATGCCTCAAAAGAATGAATCATTGTTTGACCCATTACTCAAACGAGTGCTCGTACTTGTTGAAAGGAACGAGTTCGACCGTGCCCTTCATCTAGCATTTCATACATTTTATCTGTATCAAGAAATGGAGCTTGACACAAATCTTCATCGTTTCGTATGGATTTTCTGCAGGATGCTTACTGCACAAGTGCATTTTCCTGTCGATCAATTTTTGAAGTCATGTCATCTTATCTTTGAGCCATCACAACAAAAAATGAATGAGTGCAATTTAAATAATGCGCTATATCTAATAGTCATTGCAACGAAGGTTTGAAGTAGTTATGATTTATTTCTATTAATTTCAGACAATTTAATCATGAAAGACGTAGAGAAAATAGTTATGATGTCAGACTGGTTAGCTACTATTTAAATCCTATTTTAGGTTCTCGAGCAAACAACAGTAAGTAATATAGATCGTTGTGCTATTATTCAATGGATCCAAGACCTATGTCGTCAGCGGCGTACAACACCAAAGGGACAAACTCTGTTACATCTGAGTGTCGACTCAAAAACAAATCACAATATAAACTATCAAAAAGCGGACATCAGACCTATAATTGTGTAAGTGACGTTGAATATAATTTACGATAAAAAAGAAAAAAATAATTTCATCAGCTCTATAGCTTTATCTATTCAAATAGATCATTCCATTGTCTAGCATACATTGTTGAACATTTGAAATTTCTGTTTTCTAGATTTCCAAATCTGCCAGCTACAAGACTTCTCCTTGCGTATGGGAGGCAATGGATTGATTTAAATGCCATAAATACAATTCGTGGTGACACTGCCCTACACATAATATCTCGTAGTTCGAAACGAGATACCAATACAAATCCGGTAGCGATCGTCGAACTGCTAATCAATGCAGGAGCTCATATTGATTGCGTTAATGAATATGGTGACACACCACTTGCTGTTGCTATCCAAAATGAAATTCAAGACCTTTTACGATTGAAACAGACTCCACCATTATTAAAATGTCTGTGTGCCCATTTCATTGCTGATCAGCAACTAGCCTACGAATGTTTATGGCCGACACAAACACCACTAAACACCTTCGTCTTGTTACACGGTGGCTTGAGATGTGAACATTCTTTTGCAGAAAGTGATTCAATCTCATTTATCGCTTAGTATGATAGCAACAGCATGGATTTTCACGACTTTTTGTCTGACTAATTCGATTTCTAATTCAAGTTTGATTGCAATTAATTGCAAATAAATATTAAGAAATTTTTGAATTCGATACGTCATTGCGAGTATCGGTATGAAAGTGTCTATCACACACATCCTTACTGTTATGGACAACTCATAAGCAATCTCTGAAATGGGATTGTAGAACAAATAAAAGAGAAGGCGCATAAGATGTCAAATCGGCCCACTAGTTCTTTTCTTGGTCAATCACATTGAATCATATATTAACTGAAAGAGGATGTTGAGACTAACATTGTGACACTAGTTCGTGAAGTTTTGATCGAATTTTGAAAACTAAAAGTTATCGACAAAGTAGCTTGGTTTTGGTCAACTTTTTAATAATCGATCCTATCACAGTGGATTTAATTTCAGTATTATTAGATAAGACAATATATCATTAGAATTATGAATTTGATAGCTCTTTGATGGGGCTTCAATATCATATATAAATCATCAATTGATTATTTAATTGCATGAGATTTAGATCCGATATATTGACAGACATGATTAGCATATTTACTATATCTATCATCCACGCTGATATTTAAGCAAATATTCTAGTCTAGAAATTGGAATAACCAATTTAGTGGTGTCATTTATTTGATAGTGCTTTTAAAAAACTACAAAATCATATATTTTCCAAAGTCAAAAAAAAAATGTCTGCTCGAATCAACTACAACATATATGACTTTCGTAAGTAAAAGTTGACAGAAACAAACTGTAAGAAGAGAAAAATTTTATCGGCCATGTAGAATGACTTGAATTTTATTTTATGGCTAGAACGATTGAAGAGTAAATGTTCGAGATATATCTCATTCAATAAAAGAAAAGTGCATATGACTTCAGCTCAAACAGAAAACTAAAATTCTCTAAATGTCATTCGTTGGAAAAAATGAAACTTTATCATTATTTAAGAGGGTGCGGGTGTGGGGTGTTGGTGTGGATCTTCTTCTCACCCACACCCACACCCACACCCTACAGAAAGAAAAGAAGGAAGCATAAAAAAAGAAATTTCAAAGATATAAGAAGAAGCGAGTAAACGAGGGAATGATAAGAGAAGAAGAAACAGAAAGACAGAAAAAGAAATGTCAAAAAGCAAAAAAAAACGAGTAGGTTTGACTGAAACACTCTGCCTGTTCCTTTTTTGTATGTAACTACTTTATTTCAATAAATGATATGCATTTCAAGAGAAGTAGTTCTTGATTTTGTAAAATTCTTCTGGTCGATTACTGCGAAAAATCTGGTCAAGGCGATCCTTCTTTCTATTATAAAAGTCATCTAGTAAAAAATATCATTATAGAAAAGCGAACAATCAAGATTCGTTGTATACATGAATTTAATCTTCTTTGAATGTGGTGTTTAACGCTAACTTCCAATAAGAGTTCTTGAGTCACAGTGGATAGATTATAAACTGGGGAAAATGGGTAGTGATGTATCAGTCGAAGATCAACGCGGAACTTCTGCTGTAATCGTTGCTGTTGTGACTCTGAAACTATGACGAAATAGGGAACTATTCATGCTAAATGAGGAAATGTATATGCGAAAAAACATTGCCTAAGTGCCTTGCTGGAGAAAAACCCTTTTGTTCTCAGACATTTAAGCTTCCTCAAAGATTTCTGCATATCTCATAGAAATCTACCATCTGCTTGTTTCAAGAATAATTAGTTTGTCTATGTGAACCCTAGATACATAAATTCATTTTCTGATTCAACTTTTCCCCCTATTGATTTCTATGTGTACTCTTGGCTGTCTTATTTGCGTATAAAACAACTGTGTCACTGTTTGGGAGACATCTATAGGTTGTTTCTATTTTTCTGAGTATGCAGGTATTCATTCGCACATGCGCCTACCTTCTTGTTCTAAGTATTCGATTATAGGTGCTTATTTTATTGAACTAAATTAAGATGAAAGACAATGAATAGATACGTGCTAAGACTACTGCCCTGTAACAGACCGGTGTTTATGAAAAATATTTTTGATTACTTTCCTTCAAATATCACGTACAATCTCTTATCTTGTAGACAACATATTGTCATTGTCCATATAGTTAAGAGTTATCCTTAGTCTCCACAGTTTGGTTAAAAGAGGCATGTGTCACACACGATCATAGGCTTTCTGATAACATATATAGATAGCTAATGNCTTCACTTCAATTTCTCACGTAAACCATATCAGCAGATGCAATACTCAAACGATGTTGATTTCGTTTATCATTAAGTTCATCAAGAGCTGCTTCAACACGATTGATAGCAATTGTTGAAGTAAAGTATCTGTTTGCTTCAGCTTTAGTAATCGAGCCTTTTCGCAAAAGATAATTTTGCATTCGATTAAATGGTAAGAAAATTTTAAAATTAGCATTTTGACTTCCATTAGATACGTTATTTTCTAGTGTTTGCTGTGTCTGCAAAAGTATCCATTCCATTTCAAATGGTGTTTCATTAATTGCACATAACTAAAAATACGAAAACAGTTTTATGTTACGAATCAGAGAAGATTGTTGAAAAATTTCAAGAGAATAAGAATATCAATGCAACAAAATGGTTTCAAATATTAGTTTTTCCCAAAACGAAAAAAAAAACATCTGAAAATGGATTATGTTATTGAACAGAAATGGTTCACAGTATGAGATTGTCCACAATGGTCAATAAAGAAAAAGTTTTACGCTCTATACGTTACCCTTCTGAGGAGAGAACTTGTGTAAAAGTTCAATTCTACTTCATAATCATATTTCAGGAACAAATAATAAACGTACCATTTGAGGTTTGATACCCATCAAGAGAACATAAATTACCACAGTTCCGGCCGACAGTAAACTTATATCGAATGTTGCATAGCCTTTAACAACAACAAAAAATACGTTCATATTATTTAAGATGCATTTTTCCGATAAAATGCACTCGTAATCAATACCTGCGAAGCGAGTATTAACTGTCTGAAACATAAATATCATGAATCTTTGACCTTCGCTATACATGGCCAATGCTTTGCCGTGAAAATCGTTGACCAAAGACACTGTCACACCAACTGAAATAACGAAAATGAGAAGTTGATTTATTTGACACTATGATCACTCACGTATCTGTAACAATATAGTAATAGAAACATAGAGTCGCGTTTGAACAGCAGGATATATCACAGTACACAACCGATGATTATTCAATAAGATATAATCAAAATAGATCTTGTGTCGCCAACTGAAAATAATACCATTTTAATTAGCTAATGAAATAGGAAGTAAAGAGAGAACCAGTGAATACTTACGGTACCAAGTATTTAAGTAAGTCAACGATTTCACGAAGAATGGCCGGAAACAGAGATGTGCCAGACATGACAACAAGCATGATGGTTATGTTCATGAAGACATCCGTGACAAAAAGTGACATACTACCTTTCCTAGAAACACGTTTATCAAGTTCTATCCCTTCGGAAACTATATAGGCATATAGAAAATAAGACTAAATACAATACCAAAGCGAAAGGCCATTTTGATTGAAACCAGTCAGACTGATGACAAGTGAAGCATAAAACGGATTGACTGTACTATTGTCTCGAAGCAGATATTGTGGATCATAATGATATTTAAGCCACAAACCAATAGCAAGAAATGAGATGAAATAAATAGTAAAACAAGTCGAAAGAATGAGAATAATTAGGATGATATATGCTGTAGTACGAAGATCTTTCGCACGAGGCAGTAATCGAAGACGTTGATTCAATGCAGGATCAAAAGAACTAAGTTGAACAAGTTGTGCAATTGGCAAACTATTGTCATTGACAGTCGCTGAAAGTGTTTCCTCATCAGGTGTTATTTCGCGTTTGACTCGATAGATCTTGATGAAAATAGCAGGTACTGTACTGACAGTAATACCTGTATGATAATCACAGAAAAATGTCATAGATAATCTGTTGTTCTTTTCCACTTACCCGAGATTAATGTAAAAATAAGTAATACAATTTGTGATGCTTGACTGAATGATCCAAAATCGTAGGTTTCCAATCCACATGTGAATACACATGTTGCACTCATAAACCAACAATCAAGATAGGGCACACGTTTTTGTTCAATGTTCCAGACGATAACACCACACAACAATGTATTGCAAAAGAATACCGAAAGATGTATATAGAAATAGTGTCGCATGCGCCATTCATAGTTATCCCAAAATTTTCTCCATTTCGAACACCAGATACCTAGTGGAATAACAGTATCAGCAGCAGCATTGATCATATTGATTTCTGCTTGAACCATACTGCGTTGAGTTTCGGTCACAGATGTAATCGATTGTTTTCGATCAAAGCCAAAGTTATTCATCGGTTCGCTAATGATTTTGGGTTTGTCTAACTTTTGTCGTTATCGTACTAGTACGAACTGGCAATGAAATATTTTGTTCTGATCTTCAATTTCTTTTTTTAGTGATTCTTTTATTGATCTTGACTCTCTTCTCTGAACATAGTTTATTCTTACAATAACATATAATTGCTGCTTTCTATCGTTATTTTTTAGAAAAAAAAGCATAAACACGCCCTGCACAGTATTTGTGCGCAATACGTTTTCACCTGCGGCTGCATACTAACAATCCTCATGATTAGGTGACATGCGCATTTCATATTCCTTTTTTTACATCTAATTGAGAAAACTTGATTATCACTGCGAATCAATAACTAGCCTTGTTTTTGTTAGTAATACGACTGTTGAGTTAAAACAATTGTTAGTAAAAGAATTAATACAAATTCTTTGCGTAGAGTCTAATAACAAGATACACTCTTGTTTCTAACAATAAATAACATTCGTGATTCTTGATTTATTATTCAGTATATTTCAACAAATCAAGTTTGAAACAAGGTGCATTAACGTGCATGAAACCATTCGACGCTAGTATATCTATAATAATGAATGCATGACAATGACAGGAATAGTGTTGAAAAAAAGCAGAATTCATTACGGATTATTAGGCAGAACATAGCTATTTAATATTTTTAGTATATTACTCTTTCTTGTTTCTTTATATTTTACACATTCACTATCATTTATTAAACATGATAACAACATCTAAAGAAAAAGAAAAATAATATGTGTATAAAAAACAAAGTTTACAGTTCACTAATATCTGATGAAGACAATATCACCTATCGAAACGTCACCATTGAATTTTAAGTTTGATTAGTTTATTATTTTATTTAAGTATTTAATTTATTTCGATTTGATTCTTAATTTTGAATTTAAATAAATTTGCATCTTAATAAAACTTAGAGAAATGAGAAAAAGTAGTTTACTAAAAATATTAATTAGAAAAAAATCAGATATCGCAGAATCACTACTTAAAATGTGTTGTAATTTATGTGTTTGCGCTACTATAGGAACCGTGTTGTCCATAGTTCATACTGTCAAAAAGTGAATGTATCGATTCCTTTTTTTTAAATGAAGAATTGAGCCTGGTTCGAAATCTAGCCAAAATCCTCTTCAATTTATTTCTTTTATCAAAAGACTAAAATGATGTGTTTCAGACCTTTTTTTCTACAAAAGAACCTTTATAGATTAGGATGTGAATGTTGGTTGCTCTGGTATAGAGAATACTCTCACCCACCTACACCCACCCAAATCACTCCCGAATACGATTTGATTGTGGATTCATTGATGAAAACAAAAAATATATTGAAAGCTTTTGGTTAAGTTTTGCTCACATGTCTCAGATTTGAAACAAAACCGATTAAACTGAAATAAATCATTCGAAGAAATTTGATCACCTTTACCAAATGATCTATAGCATAATCAGAGAGCAAACCTATTTTTTGTTCAAAATATTATAACCAAGTGCCCGACTAGCTGTGGACGGACTCATTCTCGTAAACATGTCACGTAGCTTTTTTTATAACAAGTTATACATCAATTTAAAGGCACTCAAAGACTTACTATTTTTTGACAAAAAAGATTATATATCTATATATAAAAATAATCATTTTATATTTTTCTTTAATCTACCATTTTTAAGTGAAATAGTAGAATATCATACATAATGATACAGACATCGACATATACGAACTCGATATAGATTTCAAGAAAATATTATGTGAACCCTTCTGCAACTAAGCACCTAAGTTTCACTGTACGATTTGTTAAAAGAAAACGCCAATTACACTTTTGATGTAACACAGAGAACAAGAAAATTAATAAGTGAATATTAATTTCGTCATATGATATCATTCATACTTGTTTACAAGAGGCATGCGCTCGTTTCTCATTTTTTCTCTATCGATCTATTTTATTATTTGTTGCACTTAAATCACCAAAATAATAACAAATGAAAAAATTCTTGTTGATCTGGATGCTATCAGGTTCTTGAATGGGCATGCCATCTAATATTCAAATCATCTTTTTCTTCATATGTATTACTTTCTGATTGATTGTAAAACTATCAAATACAACGAAATTCATTCATGCGGTTTACTGTCAATAGAAGATATAGATTTTTTAATATTAAAGTGTGGGGTATAGCATTATCACCTATTGGGTAGCATACCGATTTGCATCGTAACTCTCGTAAATGTTACATTCTATTAGACGCAGATTCTTGGCCTAAGATTGCTCTTACTATGAACGATAATGATACACAGCTAGCGTACATATTGGTTAAGGAGAAGGGTGTGAGTGCGAGTGACTAATGAATGGGTGTGAAACTCACAAATGCATGCACCACAATGCATACCTTATAACGAAACCCATTCACACCCACATCTATGCAAAGTTTCATCAATATCTCATGTACTCTGTCGGAGTTAGATTTTTAATGGAGACAGGAGAGGAGATGTAATGGCATCTTGCTTAGTTGGCAATAGTTGTTTTTTACTGTTCTTTTACCTCTAAAATTTATGAGTCATCGTCCGTGCAACATGTGACATGACGTCAGTTTACTTCCGTACGTCAGAAAAAAAAACCATTGCTACTCCCTATCGAAATTATTTTGATACATGACAATGCATATGCAAAGAAGGAGCTATTCATCAGTGGTAAAAGAAAATGCTTCGATTATACGACAACAGCTGTACGAACTAGTTTACCATGATAAATCGAGCGAGCTTGATAAATATTTACATGAGAGACCTCGTATGTCTAATGCTTTCACTATGGTGAATCGATTAAACAACGAATACTTTAGTCTGCTGATGTTGGCAAGTTTACACGGATATAATGCTGTCGTACGTGTCTTACTTGCTCACTGTCCTGTTGATATTGACCAAACCGAACTCAAAGGACGTGTATATAGCAATAACGGAGATTTAGTACATGGCGCAACTGCTTTGTGGTGCGCACTTGATCGAGCTCACTATGTTGTAGCACAAAGTTTGATTGATCTGGGTAAAGCTAGCGTTAATAACGGTCCATTTCATCCACTTTTAATTGATGCCATTATCAGGGAACGATTTGACATCGTTTGCTTCCTGGTAGAGAACGATTATGCTGATGTTAATGAAACAGTGACCAATGATCAGAATAAATGCAGCAGTCTAATAGTAGCTGCCGCCAAAGGCAATATACAGATCATGACTTATCTCATAGAAAGAGGCGCCAAACTCGATTGTAGAACCTGTATTCATGAAAACACACCGCTTACTGTTGCTGCTACAGAAGGTCATGTAGCATCAGTAAGATTACTATGTTTGGCTGGCGCCTCTTCTAGTATGAGAAATCGTTATGGGAAGACTCCACTGATACTAGCAGCCGAGAATAGTCGACTAGATGTAGTCGATTTTTTACTCGACTATAATCAAGATGAAACAGCTTTCAATGATCTTGAACTACTTGCTTCTTCCTATATGGTCTCCAACAATGATGATGAACGTCATGAACCTGAACGGATGATACGTTTTTTGCGACAATCAATTGAAAGACGTGTACTACTCAATATGCCGAAAAGCGTTGCCCAGCCTATTGCTGCTTATGATTTTCATAAAGAATGCCAGTTCATCGATGATCTCGATCAGATCCAACACGACACTAATCGTCTATACACTGAGGCATTGCTTATTCGTGAACGTATTCTTATACCTCAAAAGAATGAATCATTGTTTGATCCATTACTCAAACGAGTGACTGTACTTGTTGAAAGGAACGAATTCGACCGTGCCCTGCATCTAGCGTTTCATACATTTTATCTGTATCAACAAATGGAGCTTGACACAAATCTCCATCGTTTCATATGGATTTTCTGTAGGATGCTTACTGCACAAGTGCATTTTCCTGTCGATCAATTTTTGAAGGCATGTCATCTTATCTTTGAGCCATCACAACAAAAAATGAATGAGTGCAATTTAAATAATGCACTATATCTAATAGTCATTGCAACAAAGGTATGAAGTAGTTATGATTTATTTCTATTAATTTCAGACGATTTAATCATGAAAGACGTAGAGAAAAATATTTATGATGTCAGACCAGTCAGCTACTATTTAAATCCTATTTTAGGTTCTGGAGCAAACAACAGTGAGTAATATAGATCGTCGTGCTATTATTCAATTGATCCAAGAACTATGTCGTCAGCGGCGTACAACACCAAAGGGACAAACTCTGTTACATTTGAGTGTCGACTTAAAAACAAATCACAATATAAACTATCGAAAAGTGGACATCAGACCTATAATTGTGTAAGTGACATTGAACATAATTTACGGCAAAAAAGGAAAAAATTATTTCGTCAGCTCTATAGCTTGATCTATTCAAATAGAACATTCCATTGTCTAACGTAAATTGTTGAGCATTTGCAATTTCTGTTTTCTAGATTTCCAAACTTCCCAGCTACAAGACTTCTCCTTGCGTATGGGAAGCAATGGATTGATTTAAATGCCATAAATACAATTCGTGGTGACACTGCCCTACACATAATATCTCGTAGTTCGAAACGAGTTACCAGTACAAATCCGATAGCGGTCGTTGAGCGGCTAATCAATGCAGGAGCTCATATTGATTGTGTCAATGAATATGGTGAGACACCACTTGCTGTAGCTATCCACAATGAAATTCAAGACCTTTTGCGACTGAAACAGAATCCACCATCATTGAAATGTATTTGTGCCCGTTTCATTGCTGACCAGCAACTAGCCTACGAATGTTTATGGCCGACACAAACACCATTAAACACCTTCGTCTTGTTACACGGTGGCTTGAGACGTGAACATTCTTTTTCAGAAAGTGATTCAATCTCATTTGTCGATTAGTATAATAGCAAGAATATGGATTTTGATGACTTCCTGTCTGACTAATTCGAGTTCTAATTCAAATTTGATCGCAATTAATAGCAAATAAATATTAAGAAGTTTGCGTATTCGATACGTCATTGCGAGTATCAGTATAAAAGTGTCTATCATACTCACTCTCATTGTTACGAACAACTCATAAGCAATCTTTGAAATGCGATTAGAGAACAAATAAAAGAGAAGGCGCATAAAATGTCAAATCGACCCACTAGTTCTTTTCTTGGTCAATCACATTGAATCATATATTAACAGAAAGAGAATGTTGAGACCGACATTTTGACACTAGTTCGTGAGGTTTTGATCGAATTTTGAAAGCTAAAAGTTATCGACAAAGTAGTTTGTTTTTGGTCAACTTTTTAATAATCGATCCTATCATAGTGGATTTAATTTCAGTATTATTAGATAAGAGAATATATCACTAAAATTATGAATTTGATAGCTCTTTGATGGAGCTTCAATATCATATCTAAATGATCAATTGATTATTTAATTCCATGAGATTTAGATCCGATATATTGGCAGACACTGTTAGCATATTTGCTATATCTATCATTCACGCTGATATTTAAACAAATATTTTAATCTAAAAATTGGAATAGCCAAAACTCTGGTATCACTCATTTGATACACAATCACTTATTTTTCACAATCAAAAATATATGCCTGGTCGAATTAACTACAACATATATGACTTTCGTAAGTTGAAGTTGGCAGAAACAGTTTGTAGGAAGAGAAAAACTGTATCTGCCATGTATAATGATCTGAATTTTATTTTGTGGGTAGAACGATTAAAGAATAAATTTTCGAGATAAATCTCATTCAACAAAAGAAAAGTGCATATGACTCCAGTTTAAACAGAAAACTAAAATTCTCTAAATATCATTCTTTAGAAAAAATGAAACTTTATCATTATTTAAGGACTATAACTGTTTTAAGTAGCAAATATGAGGGTTTGTCCAAGATGGCGCGGGAGTGGGTGTGGGTACGTGTAGAAGAATGAGGAGAAAATACGCATCGCCAACTATACCCCACACCTAAACCCTTTATGTGAGAAAATTTTTTTCATTGTTTATTCTCGCATTCCTAGCTTAACTCAATGTTCACGTCAACTGTAACATTTACACAAGTTGTCGACAAAATAAAATAATCAAACTTAACAAAGTGTGGTCTATGACGATTCTTCTAACACAGTACCCTTTGAAGAAAAAAAAATCGATAAGAAGAGAATACAATACAAAGAAGACAGACTGATTGTTTTTTTCCTTTCTTTTACTGGTAAAGAATCTCAATAAAAACAACAAACAAGTGGCTTGTTTTGACGACAGCCAGGTGATGATTAATAGAACCATTGGTGCAAAATCAACGACGCAGCAATACCTCCGTAGTTAGTTAGAACTACTCGAGAAAGTGACCAATATAACGGCATACAAGTATAAATCTCGGTTAATCATTCGTATGAAGAATATTTTTAACTGACATGAATATCATTGGTTTTTTTGTCACAGACTATTCATGGACGAGAAAGTCGTGAATAGTATATTTCTACGGTCTAAACAATCAAATATCACTGATAGAATTTCGGTTCTCACCAATGTCAAAAAAGGACATCTTTCTTTACCAGACTTGATTGATTCGAGCAATGACTCACGTCCTAACTTTCAAACTCGTATCATTGAGAACTTTGCTATTATCTGGCTAAATCCAAAATTGAATCAATCTGATGAACAAACTCGAAATTCCATCATACATCTTCATTCTATTGTCAATTGTGTTCACATATTCAATGATTTCGATCGATGTGTTAATTATATGACAGAAATCAAAGATGAAAAATTCTTTCTCATTGTTTCTGGATTACTCGATGAATCTGTTATTCGTCTCATCTATGAAATGACTCATCTTTTAGCAATCTATGCTTTGCGATACGAAAATCAAACGGACTATGAATCTTTCACTCGTTATTATAACAAAATGAAAGGCATCTTCACATACCTAGAATCTCTCTGTGATAAACTCAAAACTGATGTTAATCATTTTGAAAAGATTTAACGTCGATCAGTATTATTACTATTTCTTCAACAATCACTAATATTAATGAACTAGAACCCTCATTTATGTATTTACAACTACTAAAAGAGATTCTTCTCGAAAGTGAATATGACACCAAAGACAATATTAAGTTTGCTCAATTTTGCCGTCTTCTCTACGATAATAGCCCGTGCCACGTATCAGTGATCGATGAATTTGAATAAAATTACGCCCCACAATCGTCCATTTGGTGGTATACTAATGAATACTTCACTTATGGTATGATTAACAAAGCTTTACGAGCACAAGATGTTAGTTTAGTTATGACGATGGACTTTTTCGTTCGAGATCTTCATCAACAAATCGAAGCGTTATATCGTTAAGTAAATCAGTGTTCTCCATTGACAGTGTATCGTGGACAAGGATTAATGCATTCTGAATTTGAGAAAATGAAGAAAAGCGTAAGTGGTCTTCTATCATGTAACAGTTTCATATCGACAAGCATTGATCGAACGGTTGCTTATCTTTATGCAGGCAGGTACAGCTCAAAATTTCAGTCTGACAAGTATTCTATTTCGAATCGAGATCGATCCATCAATCTCAACGATCCTATTTACATCTTTGAGCAATGTCAGTTATTTCGGTGAAGCAGAAAAAGAAATATTATTTTCAATGCATACCGTCTTTCGCATTATAAGTATCGAATTGATTGAAAATCAATTGTGACACATTAGTCTTATATTGACTGATGATAAAGATGAACAGTTGGATGTGGGTGCGGGTGTGGGATGTGAATGTGAACAAAAATCAACAACCAAACCCACACACACCGCACATCCACACCCACACCCTCCACGAAAATTATGTTTTTTGTAGAATACGATAAGTACGTTAGAAGTAATAGGAGCAATATTGAATTTTCATTCATTAAAGCATTAGAATGTGTGCCTTTCGACTTTAAAGTAGTGTGGCTTAAAATACCACCTGTGTGTTAGAAATTTAAAAAAAAAGACACATTTATGATACTACCTCATTTCAATACAAGCTATGATCAGAAGTGTAATCTGCTATTTCTTTTCCGTTCTTCTCAAGTAAATATCATTGATTTCTATTTTTTATTCTTCTCAAATTTATCAGTTTTCTATTTTAGCGTTACATGTTTAATTTCCTTTTCATTCTACATGTTCAGTTATTACACTAAAAAAAGTAAATTTATGTTACGTTTTTCTGGCTCTAAAATTGCGGCTTTTCTTCGGTTTTTCAAAAATTAGATATAGGAGAAACGACGATTCATTCCTTCATCCGTTACGACCGAGCTATCATGACAGACAAAAGAAAAAGGCGCTTAAATAGATTTTGATGTTTTTCATCTTTGTCGTGTATACTGTCGTGCCATCAGAAATGTAGTTATGAATATATTTCTTTTGAAAAAGACGATTGTTGATGAGTGCTAAAGTCTACAACGAAGAGATTGCATCTTTCTTCATACAGATTATGGCACACTTGTTTTTTGACATATCCTTCTTTTCCTGGCATAGGCAGCGCAACAACGCACTACCTCGCAAACTGAAACAGATATCGCTAAACTACTCGTTTACAATAAAAGTATTGCATTGCGTTTCATATTTTAATCTTGGAGAAATTTCGCTGAGAATTGCCTTTTGAAACACGATTTTTTATGAGTGTTGGGGGTATAGAGTGATAAAAGTGAATCCACCAACTCAGCCCACCCGATTCACAGATGGACACACAGACAAACTTCGACCATTGACGTTTCGATTAAATGGCTCCAACGTGTTTTATATTTTAATTTCATAGGAATTGCGCTGTAAGTTTTCTTTTCAGATGATACTTCTCAACATTGTTGTTGTTCTGTCAGCAGTACCCAGGCAGACAAAACTTTCGAAAAACGCGTTTAAACGCACAATCGGGAACCGCGACTGTGATCCATTCACGCTCATTAAAAAAACGCAAGAAACGACGTTTTTTGTACAAAATAGTCACTTTTCAAGCGTGAAAACGGTGAAAAACTTAAATTTCTAGTGTTAAAACGTTCTCTTTTTCTAGATTTAAAAAATGACGTGTTTAAACGCTCAGTTTTTTNTGCCTGGCCGGTGTGCGATTTTGGCCTGGCCTGCCTGGCCTGTAACAGGCTTGAAAATCATGGCCTGAGCCTGTCTGTCACAGGCAGGCCCAGGCAGGCAGGCAGGCCCCATGGCCTGTTTTAGGCTCTGTTTCATAATAAAAAATTCATTTGATGATGATATTTGTTATTAAACTTTCGTACAAAATTAATTAAATAATTGAGAAACTATTCTCTCTACGTATTTTAAGTATTTCATTTTCACATCTTTATGTTGTAAATGATTATTTCTTAATTTCGACATTGGAATTTAATAATAGGTGTTGTTCTTATGCATCTATTTTATAGATCTGAATCATTTTTCACCTCAATAGATCGAATATGATTCAGATCATTCATTTTTTTTTCTTCTCCAATTATTTTCGAAACTGTGTGAAACTGATTATTTATCTAGGTTTTTCGAATCTGTAAACAAGACCTCTCTTTCTAATAATTTAAAGCCTTTGACAAGCGAAACGAGTAAAATATAAAGCAAAATCCCGAACATACAAAAAAAATCAAGTTTTAAATGATCATTTTAATTAAAAGTTAGAAAATTATTTATCTATCTCAATTCAGATTACTTTATTTAGTTCATATTAAGAGAAAAATAATCTTAAAATATGGGGAAAGAAATTTTCCTTATATATTAAATACTACATGTAAGGATGTGGATGTGGGTGTGGGTGGGTGTGGGTGTGGTTGAACAGAGAACTCATAGCCGCACCCAAACTCACATCCACACCCACACCCACACCCACACCCACACCCACCCACACCACACCCACACCCACACCCCACACCCACACTC